CGCACCAGCAACAACAGCAACAACAACAACAACAGCAACAACAACGTGTAGGAGAGGAGTTTGATGAGATGTTGAGCACCCTTAATCGCCTTCAGTCGTAGTAATGCGTCGTCTACGGTTGGTAGTAACACAGAGATTTGGCAAAATGAGAGCTTGTGTATTCTTTCTTTACATTTAAATTACATTTGATACGCTGAAAACGCGGCGCCCGCAAGGGCGATCATGTTGAGCTTCCCGCTGAGCCCTAGTGGCAACATCGTCGCTCCAAGAAGTGGTAACATGGAATCGTACGTATTCAACGAGGGCGGGAAAATTTCACCAAGAATGAAAGTAAATAACATCCTAAAAGAACCATTGTACCATTACTTTGGTTCCGGGACACTGACACAATGTGTGGAATTCTCACCTGTTGATCAAACGAACGCGGAAATCCCTTTCAAAGACAATGGGTGTCGCCCCAAGAGCAGAGAGTAAGTAATAAGCAACTCTGTGTTTGTAAAGAGGCTCTCCAGTCGACCGAAGAAGATAACATTGTCCGAGTCGGTGGAGGAACATATTTGTCGACAAAAATGCCGTACTACGGAACCACCCTTCGACAAAGTCCTTGAGGTCGCGCAAGAGTATTCGAATAACAAAGACGTAGAGCGGGTCTTTGTGTTTGCCCTGGTTTGAACTACGATGGCCATTCTCTTGTACTGGAGAAGTAGGCCCTGCACTAATGGAATGGCGACGGACAGCCTCGATCACTTCGGGAATCTTCTTTGGCATATCAGGAAGTTTTGACATTCGGCCAAAGTACGTCGACATTTCAACGGCAGAGTCCACTCGTTTGGGCTTTTCCAAATCTGCGGCGATACGCTCCCGTTCCAGTCGTTCCCGTTCAGCTTGAAGCTCCTTGCGACGTTTGACGTGGTCAGCAAACCGGCCGTACAAGAAGGTTGCGAGTCGGATAACCAGCGTATAGCAGTACTGAATGATGTAAAATCGAATGTACATGCTTGATACCTTGAAAGGGGTACGTAATCAGAAGGCAAGTTCGATGATATTGGTCCCTTCCCACACACCAACTTTTTGCACTGTCACTGGCCACTCCGCGAACCCACTGGCGATACAATCGGGATTTCCTGGATGAAGTTGCTTGCAGGAATCCACCGTGATGTAACGTCGCCCAATTGTGGGATACATACTGATGTTTTACGTTCATCGCTATTAGCCACTCATTTCCTCAAAAGCCATCCGAGGGCCAAGAGACTCACTTTCGATCCAGCATCGCCCTGTACTTTTCAGTCAAGGTCCTTCGTGATCCCACTGTGTGTAATAGTGTGAACATTGTAGGCTCCAAAAACATGAAGTAAGTGAAGTGCTCCACTTTAATCGGGATTTTGGAGTTGGGGAGAAATGCGGACTGGAGATATCGCAAAAGGATGAGAATGATGAAGTATTTGATAGATTGGGGCGTCGCGATTGACGTGATCGCCGTGAGTGCAGCAGTAAGTCGAGGTACAATGAGCGGGACGATAGAGGGAGGAAGAGCGGAGAGCAGAACGGATTGCACATTCTGTGCGAGAGTGGATGAAGTTGGTGCCATCGCTGCGAGTAAATACACCGATCCGGGTCTTGTATTCTGAATCTCGGAGGACAGGATGTGGACCGGGACCAATTAGAGTGTGCCTCAGGGAGGCACGTCTCATCGGCCCCAAAACGCCGATTGTAAACCATGTTTCGTCCGATATGGATATGCAGTTTCCATAACGTCCTGCAAAATGAAATTCACTTGACAGCGAACACACCGTTCCACCATAATCCACTCTTCCGTGCCCCAAACCCTGGAAACGATACAGTCGAGAAAACGAGAACGCAATCGATCGAGCTCCGGGGCGAATCGGCTTCCGAGACACCGGCAAATCAGTTTCGCTCCAGTCCTCGCGTACGAGGTGAAGCTCGTCCAGCAAGTGCACGATGGGGAGTGAGTCAGAAAGGGCCATTTCGGTGAGGAATGAAGAACGTTGGAACACAGGTGATGACAATACATCAATGGGCAACCCCTATTGCGAATAACGAGATGAAGGTGCATAAATGTTCTGCATCGGGCGAATTTGGCAAATGAATGCACTCTGTGAAGACCACAACGAAATGAGACGGGTGACGTCCGGGTGACCGCGTGAAGATAGCATGATTATATCGACACTGGCTATCAGTGGCTTGAGTATGCCAGATTATTGTGTTCCCCAATTCGCCCAAGAGCCGAGGGGTTCTTGCGGGTATGGCTAAACGGAGTTGCGACCGACTAGCAGTGCGTAATGTTGGCATCGCTTGTTCCCTCATGGGGCAATAAAGAAATCTGCATCTAGCCTCATTAAATGCATGCCTTTGGGAGGGTAACATTCCACGCAGTTGGAGCTAAGCTGCAGTAAGAGAGCTATGCTTCTGGGTAATTGTTTCGATAACTTTTTTTGTGTGTGCTTAGGGTGGGGTGGTCGTGGATTCTCACTGATTCTGTGCATTGGGTGATTGCAGACCACCAACCCAGCGTTCTTGTTCAAAACCACAGAGTGACTTTGCCGCAGCTTGGTGTGATTGGCAGTTTGGCACTGCTGACAATGCCCATTGAATAAAGACTTTTGTATTCCCTTTTCACGCGGGATCCTACCACCAATTGCGGTCCTAAAATATATGTATGGAGTTTTTGAGTTTTTATGAGTCCCTTCGTGTCGTCACAGACACATGAACAACAACAATGTCATACTCACCAATGGCAATTGACCAAAATGAAGCAGCAACCGTTTATTTCTTGACGAGAATGCAGAGAAGGGTGGGGTAGAAGGCGAAAAACAGCCGCACGTGCAACGGATGTCACCCTCGCAACCAAAAACACACCGCGCCTCTCCGAAAAGCGCAAAAGGAGGGAACCACCGGGAATTGAACCCAGGACCTCCCGCAGGCTTTGTGAACCAGTGGTGACTTTCAAAAGAATGGGGACCACCGGGAATCGAACCCGGGACCACATGCAAGTTAGGAATTTCAACCCTAAGCATGTATCATGCCACTAGACTACGGTCCCAAGTGCTGTTGAACGATTGCCTCTTATTTGTTATATTATCATTATTACTTTTAAGTACTTACTCAAGTTAATGCAGGGATGAGAACAAGGTCTTGTGAGGGTTCCACAGAGCCACTGAGTGTGCATGTCGATGCGATTCATGTGTACTTCAATCACTGTGTCAGCACATGCTCCATTCATCTTGTCATGCAACTAGAGTCACTGTTTCTTGTGCTTTGGAGTACTTTCTGACTCTGCATGCAATGGATTCAGGGTTGCTCATATTTGTCCAGCAAGGAGTGTTAGTGTATGTGAACAAGAAATAGATAAAAGGGTAATCCAACAGACAAATTGCATGATAAGTGAAGCCATCTAATTGTACCTCAGGTATCTCCATATGCACACTTTGCATCCTTGTCAATGCTGGCTTGATCTGGTCCAGCATTGCCCCTGAAAACCATGGGCGTGTCGCATAGAGCACACTTAAGGCCCTCCAGGTGAGTGGCTCAATCCTCCATTGAGTGGTAAAGTCACTCTGAGAAATATCTGTGCTTGTTCCCAAAAGATAGTGATTGCTTGTTTAAGGACCAGTCCCTCCATTTTCACTTGCAAGAATCTTGCATAAAGACAATCTAATAGATACAGCAATTACTACTCACATTGTTGTTCCTGCTCTGATGCCTTGGTAAGTAGAATTTGCACAAACATATTGGGGTCAGTGCAGTACTTCAACCATAGCTGCACAACTAAAAGTGAGACCATGGCCATAAACTTTGGGTGAAAAGTATAGCTCACTCAAACAGAAGATTTTCTTCCACATCTCCGACATCAAATGTATGGGGAACCATTGTGGTGTAAGTTGTAACAGGATAGTGGATAATATTGCCAACAATCACAACAATGCTAAAGGGTGGCATGAATCAGTGACAGTATGATACACAAAAGTTGTGCTACCAATAACTTGTTTCTCCCCATCCACAATAATCTCTGGTTGATCAAGGAAGTTGAAAGTGTCAGAATATTCTGCCTCATCAACAAGGCTACAAAGTATCTGTTTCAATGTGAACAACATCAAGCAACAGTGGCAAAAAGCTTACCCTGCTACAATGCAGTGCATAACCTTCCAATCATAAAAATGATAGTTAGGCTGTATGTGCCATTCAAAGACTCCCAAGTATGGTGTGGTGCAGTAGCATCAATCTAGTGCAAGACAACAAGTTGACAATATGTTACAATAATGCTACTAATCACTTTACTCACAGTATTGATGGAAGCCAAGATGGACTTGCAATCTTTTTCAGTCAACAAAACATCTCCTTGCATCTTGGCAATGTAAAGCAAATGTTGTTTCTGTTTGATTTTGGAGAGGTCACTGTCAGCAAAGAAGTGGGGTTGGGTAGAGATGATGGAACAACAGGAAACTTCTGATTATAAAAGCAAAGCACTTACTGGGCAACTCTGACAGTATTTGCTGTCAATGTAGAAGTGAAGTCTTCTAAATGAAACCTTGTTGCATTCAGCAACCTGTGCTTGTAACTCATCCCAATCAATAGGTTCCTGATGCCACTGCATTTGCCCTGCTGTGCAGAAATATTCCAGATACAAACTTGCCAGTTTAATGGTCCCTGATTTCATTCTAATTAGCTTATTCAGTCATGGAAGCTATGAATGGAAAAATTCAACATCCTTCAAAAAATCAATTTACTTTTAGTCTTACAGGCACAATGTCCTCTGCCAGCTCAATGGCCTTCTGCCATGCTTGCTCTAGTTGCATGACAAGATGAATGGAGCATGTGCTGACACAGTGATTGAAGTACACATGAATCGCATCGACATGCACACTCAGTGGCTCTGTGGAACCCTCACAAGACCTTGTTCTCATCCCTGCATTAACTTGAGTAAGTACTTAAAAGTAATAATGATAATATAACAAATAAGAGGCAATCGTTCAACAGCACTTGGGACCGTAGTCTAGTGGCATGATACATGCTTAGGGTTGAAATTCCTAACTTGCATGTGGTCCCGGGTTCGATTCCCGGTGGTCCCCATTCTTTTGAAAGTCACCACTGGTTCACAAAGCCTGCGGGAGGTCCTGGGTTCAATTCCCGGTGGTTCCCTCCTTTTGCGCTTTTCGGAGAGGCGCGGTGTGTTTTTGGTTGCGAGGGTGACATCCGTTGCACGTGCGGCTGTTTTTCGCCTTCTACCCCACCCTTCTCTGCATTCTCGTCAAGAAATAAACGGTTGCTGCTTCATTTTGGTCAATTGCCATTGGTGAGTATGACATTGTTGTTGTTCATGTGTCTGTGACGACACGAAGGGACTCATAAAAACTCAAAAACTCCATACATATATTTTAGGACCGCAATTGGTGGTAGGATCCCGCGTGAAAAGGGAATACAAAAGTCTTTATTCAATGGGCATTGTCAGCAGTGCCAAACTGCCAATCACACCAAGCTGCGGCAAAGTCACTCTGTGGTTTTGAACAAGAACGCTGGGTTGGTGGTCTGCAATCACCCAATGCACAGAATCAGTGAGAATCCACGACCACCCCACCCTAAGCACACACAAAAAAAGTTATCGAAACAATTACCCAGAAGCATAGCTCTCTTACTGCAGCTTAGCTCCAACTGCGTGGAATGTTACCCTCCCAAAGGCATGCATTTAATGAGGCTAGATGCAGATTTCTTTATTGCCCCATGAGGGAACAAGCGATGCCAACATTACGCACTGCTAGTCGGTCGCAACTCCGTTTAGCCATACCCGCAAGAACCCCTCGGCTCTTGGGCGAATTGGGGAACACAATAATCTGGCATATGGAGCAAGCCACTGTCGCAAGTCCGATTGACCCGCGGACAAATCAATGATCAGGGGGTTTGGGCTGCTGGTCCTGCAGTCAACCCAAGCAGGTCCCAATTACCTGCGACACCACTGATAGCTAGCGTCGATATAATTATTCAGGCTTCAGGCGGTCACCCTGGACTTCAGCCGTCTCATCTCTCATGTTGAACATTTCGTTGCAGCACTCACAGAGTGCATTCATTTTCCAAATTCGCCAACTCAGAAACCGAAAACACTAGCCTGCGTCTCGTTACTCGTACATAATTCGTCAATAGGGTTCATAGGCATATACCCATTCCAACCTTCCTCGCCAAAATGGGCTCTCGACGCACCCTCCCCGCCGTGCGCTCGCTGGATGAGCTTCACCTTGTCCGAGAGGACCTGAAGCGCGACGGATTCGCCGGCGTGGCGGCGGTCGAGTCACCGCAGGAGCTCGAGAGGTTGCGCGCAAGGTTTTTCGACTGGATCGAAGGGTTGGGGTGTGTTTCTGGTCTCTGCGCGGCGCGGCGGGATCCGTGCCATCGTGGATGGGGGGACGTCGGACGTCGGACGGGGCATGTGTGGACGCAGGAGCAGGAGCGGTTTGGTGACACCGACCAAGCCGTGAAAAGGCGGAATGCCGATCGCAGCGTACAAGTCCCGAATGTCCCTTTATCGCCTGACACGAATCGCGCACCCCATTTAAAGCACCGGCGCTGACCGACGCGACCCCACGACATGGACTGACGTCGGCGCGGGCCGGCTGGGCGTGATCCACGGCCACGGAATCTCGCACTCGCAGTTTGTGTGGGACGTGAGGCAGAATGAGAATGTTTATCGAGTGAGTGCGCAGGGGAGCTGGGGTTTGAGCGGAGCGGGGGGAAAGGGGGGAATGGGATGAGGCGTGGCACTTGAGAGTGCTTTTTGCGAGCCTGAGCTGAGCTGGAGCTGACCCGAGCCTCGTTCGTTGGAAAGGTGTTTAGTTACCTCTGGGGAACGGGCAACTTGCTCGTATCGTTTGACGGGGCTTGCTTCAGTGAGCACGGTACGTTCTGCGGCACCTCTACCCCACAATGAAACACCCCCTCACTTGCTAGTGCAACCTCCCGAACACTTCCCGCACAAATGGCTCATCTTCCCATCATGGGCGCACGTCGACCAGCCTCCGACTGAAAAGGGCCTCGTCACGATCCAGGGCCTGCTGACGCTGTATGACTCAGAGGAGGAGGATGGAGGGCTTGTGGTGTGGAGGCGCAGTCATAAGAGAGTTACGGGGATCGAGTGGGCCCATCGGTTGGTGTTCAGGACTGTTGGGGGGGAGATACGTAAGCCTGCTGCGCCTGCTCTGATGATGGGCAATACAACTCACTTTTACGATGACTCCCGTCCACTCCATGCGACTCACTTCACGATAAACATGCGGCCTCGGTGTCCTCGCTGCACTCGCGGCTCGCAACTATGAATGTATCTCGCTTCGCGGGAATTCGGCTTCGGCGGACACGCGGGGCTCGACTCCACTTCAATCGGCTTCCCCTCCGTTCGATCCGTCCCACCCCCTCTCGCATAGTATCGTTTCTTCGCGGATGCCGGCGGGTCAAGACGTGCGGACGAGCGGGGACCTTGTTTCTGTGGGACTCGCGGACCGTTCACTGCAACACTGCCCCCCTTGCCAGTCGGAAGCGAGCTGAGCCTATCCCACGCGCGGTCGCGTACGTGTGCATGACGCCCAAGGCGCACGCAACGCGGGAGCAAGTGGAGCGAAAGCGGCGGGCGTTCGAGGACATGGAGGGACACGGGCATGACCCGCGCGGGTTGAGCTAGTGAGTGACTGTGTCATTGGCGAGTAGCAGGTCGCAGCTCAGATCTGAATTGGCGCATTCGAAGCTTTCCGCGCTCAAGATCTCGAGAGAATACTCCAAGGCCAGATGTTGGGCAGCTGGGGCTGAGACTTGCCGGGGTCGAAGCATACGAAGACGAGGCTGATCTGAGTAAGGCAGGGCGACTGTGAATTGCATACGTGTAGTGGGAATTTATTTACATGCGAGCTGTATTCTACACTCTCCAGTCGTCGGCGTCGGGTGAACTGTTGTACCTAATCTTCGGCAGAACCAGTCCGACCCTCCGTCGTCCCTGAGTTTTACTGCACGCCGTCTTTGATTCCGCATCTGCATCGATGCTCGCTCTGCTGCTGGACTCGCTGACGCCGTGGAATGTTCTCGCCGCGCTCCTCGTGCTCGTCATCACGCGCCGCGCACTCTCCGTCCACGAGCGACTCTTCGTCTCCCCACTGCGACACATCCCATGCTCCTCCTGGAGTCTCGCGTTTCCGGAGATCACGATGCTGATCACGCTCAGGGGAAAGAATGCATTCAGATCGCTAAGACTGCACCACGAGCTCGGCTCGGTCGTCAGAGTCGGCGCCGAGGTCGTCAGTATCGTCGACCCGCAGATTGTGCATCAGGTGCGTGTCGGTTGGGGCGGCAAGTACATACCTGCACCTCGCAGAGCAACTCATGAGACCCCCGTCGCACGGCCTGAACCCGTGCAAATCGCACGTCCATCCATCCATCCCGTCCGGGACGGGACGCGCAGCTCATTCGCGTCGAAGACATTCCCAAGAACGACGCCATCTACAAGCGCCTGCGTCTCTTTGATGGCGAAGCAGAGAACCTCCTGCAGGCCACGGACCGCGTGTACCACAAGCAAGCTCGTCGCATGGTCTCACCCGCTTTCAGTATCAAGTATCTCAACAACCTCGAGCCATTCATGTGCGAGATCTGGCAGGCTTTTGAAAAGATGGCCAAACGTGAGGCGGCAAGGTCAGAGGATGGGAAGGCGAGATTGGATGCCACGCAGTTCTTTCATGTGAGTGAGCATAACAAGGTCTGGACCGCGAAGCACGTGAGCATAGCGAGGTCTGGAGTGCCAAGTACGCAAGACCGAGCTGTCCCTCGTCTTGATTTTGTACTGATGGCGCCTTAAAATCCCACACTTTTCGGGGTTTCTCCATTTCTCCATTTCTTCCGCTGACCGCTGACCCACCCGACAGAACATCGCCATGGACGCCATCGGCACCACGGCGTTTGGCAAGTCGTTTGGGATGGTGGAAACAGGCGCGAACCAGCTCCTCCAAGCCATCAACAACCTCCTCGTCTTCTCGCAAGTACGCACCCACCGCTTCTGCTTACCCTATCTTGCGTCCTCACTCCTCACGTCGTCGCATCTACCCCACCCCGCCCCCTCCCAATCCCACTCCCCCACCTCCCGGGTCCCGGCACGCAGGTCAAAATGATCTTCCCGCTCCTCTCGCGCATCAACTGGAAATACCTCCCCATCCGCGCCTCCATGGAACTCGTGTCTCACACGCGCGCATCCATGCTGCACGAGCGGGAGGCCATGAACCAGCGCGGGGATAAGCGGCAGGATATTCTGCAGATGCTCTTGGACCATGTGGACACCACGGGGCATCGGCTGTCGCCGGCAGAAGTGACGAATAATGCAAATTTGTTTATTTTGGCGGGAAGGTGTGTGTGCGAACCGAAGCCTTGCAGCTTGGGTCTTGGTGGTTGATCTCAATATAAATTGTTGACGTTGTTATTTTCATCTTCCATACTTTCAAGCGAGACAAGCGCAAATACTATGACGTGGCTGCTGTATTACGTTTTCAAGCACCCCTCCGTGAAGGAAAAGCTCGTCGCCGAAATCGACGCCGCTTTCCCAAGCGGCCTAGACCACACGGTAGACCTCCGCACGCTCAAAACGCTTCGCTACCTGGACGCCGTGATCAAAGAGACCATGCGCATCCGCAACGTCGTCACGGGCCTTGCTCGCATGCTCGACCAACCCACCGCCGTGACCGCCACCTCGCCCACGGGGGTCAAGACGCAGCACATGTTGCCTGCGGGGACCAAAATCATCATCCCGCTCTACGCCGTGCACAACAGCAAGCAGATCTGGCTCAGGGCCGACGAATTCCTGCCTGAGCGGTGGCTGAGCGACTCGGCGGCGCTGGAGAGCACAGAGTACGAGGCGTGGGGGATTGGCGGGTCGGACAACGTCGACAACGACTTCGCGGAGTATGGGAAGCCCCGGCTTGTCAACAAGGACGCGTATTGGCCCTTCTCGACGGGTTCTAGGTGAGTAGGGTGATTTGCGCAAGTCTGGTCGCAGCGAGCGAATACTGACGGACGCGCATTCCAATTTCTCGTCACCTTGCATGCCAACCAAACC